AGGCATGCCAAGAAGGCGGGAGAAATACCTTATAATGTAGGGTTGGCCAAACTTCATGTCAGTAAGGGCCGCACGTTTGAATTCGAGAGCCGCATCTAAATTTTCTAAAAGCCACAAGTTCATATTTACATCATTATACAAGTAGTGGAGGAGGTTTTAAATAGAAAGAAAATCCCTGATAACTTTGTAAAATGAGTCTAAACTAATTAATTACTTTCGTTTGGACACTGAATAGTTTTAGTTTACCATATTTCATACATATATTTTATATGCACGAGCCGCACAAATTGCCTGCGAGAGCCGTATCAGGCTCGCGAGCCGCACTTTAACCATCCCTATTATAATGTCTTCACAAGTTATCGATTCCTCTTTCTTTTAATAAAATGTCTCTAAATAAATCATCATTAAAGACGTTTAAATATTGTCAAAATATAAAAGAATAGCAGCATATTAGGACAAACTAAATAAGCTAAGCTCTTTGAGGGACAGGGTGCAAAATATCTTGCTGTTAACGAAATCCTGAAGAGATTCTCTGAAAAAGTATTGATTGAATTTTGCTAACTACTTGACTTTCACGTATGACTTACCTGAGTTTACATTGTTAAAAATATTATTGGTTACAAATCCGAGGGGAATAATATTAACTCTTAACGCTTTTGAATATTTAACTTAATTATATGCTTTGCTAGGATAGACTTCTCATGATTAAAACAACATGATATTTTTAGTAAACCTATGTTATTAAAATAAAATTACACTAGTTTTCTCTGATCCAACTGCTTATATGCGTTATATTTAGTTAAACTAATTTTTACAGGGTACTTACGTATTAACACAACCACCTTGGCGCAATTTGGAGATTTTTTACAGAAGAAAAAATTATTCTGTAAAATTTTGGATTGTAACTTACAGTGGATACCTAATGCATTATTATGCACATGGTTACCAGAGTTTGGCGTTTTCTACTGAGGTTGTTATGATAATACGTAAGTACCGTATCCAACACCTCGTACAAATATTCGACAATCTGCGGTGTTTCGTAAGTCAGGCATTGTTAGGTAACTATCGGTTAATATTATGGGATTCTGAACAGGCTTCTGAGAAAGTGTGTAAGATATTTCCTACTTTCTTACCCAGTGTCTTCATAGTGTAAATGGAAATTATGTCAGCAAGCATCGGAAGGGGCTGAGTTCGAGTCCCAATGAGGATATTTTCACGTTTTCTTCTCCGAAATGAGAAAAGGCTCTGGTGACTAACTCTCAAGGTAGTACCAGTAGAATTGAATGAGTAGGTCGCATTACGGAAGCTCCTCGTTTTACCCGTGCATAAGCGGTACTGCAATAGCCAGCTCTACAAAAGCTATATTTTCGGGAAGCGGAAGATCCAAACAACAAGTAGATATAAAATTCATCCCCGTACGACAAATATGGAAATTGTTATGATTTTTTAAAGTTTTCGTCGACTGAATGAATCGCCTAAGCCTTACATAGTGGATATAATTGTCCATCTAGCAGCCGTCGCCTGAAGGAATATTAAGTGTTTGATATCAACGGATGCGCAATAACCTCCGGAACATTTTAAGTCATGATTCAAGTCACGGCGATCATTAGAACGCTAATTATCGATTTTTTTTAATGAATTATCACGTGTTTGTATGAACTTTGACTTTCTAAGGAAACTCGACGTGCGCCCGGTTCCCAGCTGCCCCCCGTGGATCGCACAGCTCCCTCCGCGAGGATTCACAACAAAGGATACTGGACAATTGTTTTACCAAATGCTGCATCAAAGCCAACACCGCTACATTTCTGATACCAACGACATCAGTCTCCTAATCAGATGCGAGTTACAAGTTTTCAAGTTTGGAAAAAATCGGCCCACTAGAACCGATTTTACGCATTTTTCGTCTAATTTTATGGACTTAAGTTTTTATACCGATCCCCACCATAACAGCGAGCCAGGGCGACTGCCGATAAGTGTGCCAATTAATTAATTAAATGCAAGACAGTACCGTCAAAGCAAAACGTGTGCAGTGCATACATCTGTGTGTATTATCTTTAAGAGTGCGTGGTGTGAACTTTATAACAACACTATTGTTCTTTGTGTGAAATGTGCCGTGTTATAGTATTTGAATTACATGTACATGTACAGATGAAGCACAGAGAAGCTTAATCCAAGATAGGATTGCTTGATCATATTTATATATTATCTTAATAGCCGTAATAGTATTTAATATCAGTATAAAACTTTAAGTCTCCAATTATTAATTAATGCTAACTAATTACCATAACAAATTTTATATATGCAAGTTATTTTATGTACTGGTCAATCGGCTATTATTGTGAGTGCTATTCTGAACTCTAAGTACCTGCAATCTGTATCTTTGCACATATCAATTAAGTCTAATACAACTAGTGTAATTACAGCAAGTAAACATGCTGTAAATCTCATAAACCTGCTAATCACATTTTTAAATTTGGTATTACCTGTACTCTTGTCAATTATGTATAGTTAGCGCAAATACTCAAATTCCCCCATATTCTTTCCCTAAATTAGTATTTCAAACCCTCCCATTCTTGCATAATGTTCAGTGGGTCCAGTGCTACCTTCTCAATACTCCTACAGTTGCTACATTATAATAAGTGTCATTAATTGTACTTTTAATTAGTGCAAATAGTAGATGTGCAGTATTTTCAAAGTAATAGCATATTTTCACGCATGTGTTACTCTCTATGCGTAAAAGTGAGAACTGTTATTAGATAGAGACTGTCATTCGTGTATTCAGTGCAAACAAGATTAATTCGATAACAGCGTCTGTTACAACAACTAGTTAGAGATTTTAGTTTCAATCAGGCAGCCATTGGTCTAATACGAGAGTGTTATTAGCTAAATACTGTTATTATTAGTTCGAGACTTTTATTAGAAATTAATATCAGTCTGTTTCAACAATTAATTATTAACCTGCTACAACAACAGCGTCGTTTTCAACAATTAGTTAAAGACTTTATCTAGTTTTAAAAAAATCAGTCGAGACTATTATCAGCTAAGAACTGTCATTATTAATTAGAGACTGTTGTTAAAGATTGTTATTAGTGAAGCTATATAAACCCCTTCATATCATGGTACTACAATCTACTCTATCTACTGACGAAGATATAACAACGTCGTCTAGCGCCTTAGACCCGACCTCTATCTTAAACTCAGACATAGCTCATGCTGAAAAGGTAGGCCGCTTCTACCAGGAAATCAAGAGAGTAACAACTACCTACCGAGGTTGTAAATTTCTGCTCCGAACAGAACTCAGAGAACGTATTCTTACCTCACTAGAGGCTCTACAGAAGCTAGCCCTAGAAGGCCCCGAATACACAGCAAAACCAACAAAAGCCGACACAAGTACCAATACCTCCATTCTCTCTTCTGCTGCGAATTAGCACATACAAATAAGAAGTATCAAACAGACCAGCAGAGCCATAACGTGTTCGCTGAAGCACCACTGCCTAATCCGATCAGAGGTCCATCCTACGCGGCTGCCGCAGCTAAGGCTAAAGATACTAGTCACATAACTACGCTCCGGCACACACTATATCCTATATCTTACTATATCCTATCAGGAAGCTGGTCTCCCTGCACCGTCCACCAGACCACCTTCAAGAGTAAAGACCTTAAGGCTAAACTCAGCCAGGAATTCCCACTCCCCAAGATAGGAGTAAAGGTATCCACAGTCAGAAACATACAAAAAGGAGGTCTAGCCGTTGACTGTCACACGAAGGAGGACCTTGACAAGCTAAAAAATACGCTAAACAGTGCAAAGGGACAAGAACTGGTAGAGACCAAAGCTTCCCGCCACAAGACTTTTAAGAGTTGCTATCCACAGCGTCCCACATGAAGTCCAGGAACACGAAATAGAACGAGCTTTGGCATCGGAGCACAATGCTACAAATCAACAGTCAAGATCCTCTACCGCCTCCGAGATAGAAGAAACACAGTTAAATGGGTTCTTGACTGCCAACCTACAGTCTACCAGCGAATCATGCAGGCTCCCAGACTCTACCTCGGCTGGCGGGCATACCGAATTGCAGACTTCTATAACACCAAGCGATGCTACAGATGCCAGGAACTCGGCCACACTCAAAAGGAGTGCTCCAACAAACATTATTGTGCATACTGCACAGAAGAACACGACATCCGTGAATGCCGAGCGCAGCAGCCCGCGTGTATCAACTGCGCAGACTATAACTATAGGACAAACAGGAGCATCCCCTGCGATCATCCAGCCTATGATGTCAACTGCCCCTCGTACGGAAGATACATCGCTAATATCAGACGCAGTACCAGATACGAGTGATTTGCCACAGCCGCCCACTCAAATAATGCAAACACCAGACATCCAACGAGAAGTTATCAAATGCATCCAGATTAATTTACAAAGAGCAAAAAGCCGCCGCGTCACAATTGATCCAACATACAATCAACCATCAACCAGATATACTATTGATTCAAGAACCTTACTGCAGAGCAGGGGAAGTCGCCTGTTTGCCACTCTGTTGGAAAATATTTCAGCGCAAAGCACAACAGAATGAGCCACCACCAAGAGCAGCAATCGCCTGCTGCAACCCGCTCTGGTCCCCGCTGATAATTACACAGAAGCGAGACCATGTAGCAATCCTCCTCAGCTTCTCAAATTCACAGATCATCATTTCCTCCATCTACAGTCCCCCACCGGATGATATCCACCAGACCATCATGAGCATCGAAGAAGTAAAGACAAAGTGCCCCACAACATCACATGTTATAGGCGGTGATTTTAATGCCCACAACATCATATGGGGTTACCCAGCTACCACTCCAAAAGGGCAAGTCTTGGAAGACTACATATTGGCCAGCAATCTGCAAATCATAAACACCCCCAACGCGCCACCCACATTTGACAACACGTACCACCACGGATGGCCAGATATTACAGTGACTACTAATGATATATAGCCAATAACCTACAAGACTGGATGGTAGCAGATGAGGAGAGCTGCTCGGACCATCGCTACATACACTTCAATATTGCAAGCGACACAAGGATCAGCATCTTTAAAAGATACAAACTTCCGGGTAACAAATTGCGAATACTTAACAAAGCTTTCTCTCTAACATTACAGCAAGAAGAGCAGGAGCTAAGTCAATACAAGAGCCCCAATGATCTGAACACTTATACCGAGCGGCTGCTTGACACTCTACGGAGCATTTGCGATCAGCACCTGCCCACCAGAGCAGCAAAACGTTTGCAAGGAATTTCCTGGTGGACAAAGGAACTGCGACAGCAACGGCAAAAGTGCAGGGCTTTACGACGTCGCCTTCGCACCAACATTAACGAAACCACCAAGAATGCAATACTAGCAACCTTTAGGAAGGAAAGAGCGCATTATAAAAATAATATCCTTAAAGCCAAAATAACCAGCTGGCGTAAGTTCTGCACAGAAAATAACAACCCATATGGAATTCTACACAAGCTTGCCACCAACAAGGTCTTTAAGCCGGATCAACTCTATGCCCAAATTGCCAACCAACCCATTACCACCAACATAGCAGAATCCACGGCAGCCACAACCTTAAACACAGTCTTCCCAGCAGATGATCCGGACGATGACACGCCAGAACAACGGCACACAAGGGGAAACACCACTATCCCAGAGACTTCAGACGACGAACCATTTGAAATGGAAGAGATCAAGCAAATCTTTCGACAGCTTCCAGTCAAAAAGGCACCAGGTCCTGACGGCCTGGATTATGCAATAATCAAGGTCGCCTTCAACGCTCGACCCACTTACTTTAAAGTTCTCTGTTTAACAAGCTTCTACATTGTCAAATCTTCCCTACTGCATTCAAAAAAGGACAGGTCGTCCTGTTTTTAAAAAAGCATAAATCCCCGGAAGATCCAAGATCCTTTAGACCCATATGTCTGTTATCTGCATTGGGTAAGATCTACGAAAAACTGCTAGTCAACAGGCTGAAGCACCATCTATACCGACAAAACTTTCTTAGCCCACATCAATATGGATTCAGGACAGGCACATCTACCATCCATGCTCTAGAACACATTCGAAAACATATAAATGACAACAGAATCAACAATCTACATACTGCATTTATCTCTTTAGATCTTCAAAGTGCCTTTGATACTCTCTGGTGGCCTGCAATAAAGCAGGCCCTCAGGGAGGCAAAGTGTCCAAGGAACCTTTTTAATATCTTCACTGACTATCTCCACTCTAGAAGTCTAATTATAGTCAATAATAACGGTGTCGTCACTAAACAGCAACAGGGTGCCCACATCATGTGCCGGGCCTCTACTGTGGATAATCACGTTTAATTCCTTATTACAAATCAAATGGCCTACCCATACCAGAGTGATAGCATATGCAGATGATGCGGCATTGCTAGTCTCTGGCCGCACAAGAGAAGAACTCGAACGAAATGGTACGGAAACCTGTTCCATATTTTCAGATAAATGCAGTAGACTTAAATTGATCATTTCCGCACAGAAGTCAACGGCAGTAGTCATCCCACGACCGAGAACTAATCCAACGCGACGGCCGTGTATAAAATTGATGGGACGAAATCTAAAGATCTCAAAAACCATAAAGTATCTCGGACTTACATGGGATCAGGGTCTCACATGGCTGCCCCACCTTCAAGACATCAGAGTCAAGACAGCAAATATAGCTAAGAAAGCCAGACAATTCCAGGGAAGCAACTGGGGGCAAAACCCTCACATCCAGAAACTGCTATATCTAACGGTAGCGGAGAGAATTGTTCTTTACGCATCGGCTATATGGGCGCAACCAATGAGCAGTCGCAAGATCAAACTCTTGACAACAATACAACGGCCATTTGCTCTAAACATAAGTAGGGCATATAGGACAACGGCATCAAGTGCAATAACGGTCCTTGCGGGACTAACACCCCTGCACATAAAGGCCAGCATAGAAGCTGCATATGAGCGCCTAATTAGGCTAAAAACAAGATGCCAACTTTGCTGGCACCGCCTTCCATGCAACACAGTATGAATTACCAGGGAGTGTGCAGTATGTGCACCCGGCACACAAAAGTAAAGGCATCCATGTCGTGACAGCACAACACCCAACGCCTCTCAGAGAAACTCCACATGTGAACTCACGATTCTACACCGATGGATCAAAGCATGACAATGGAGTGGGATGCGCCTTCGTTCACTTCAAAAATGACCGAGTGGAAAGCAAATGGAAAGGCCATCTCGCTACCCACAACAGCATTTTCCAGGCAGAAGCTGTGGCAATAGCAGCTGCAATTCAGTATGCTCAGGATATCAATCTAGCAGCAACCGAAATTCACACAGACAGCATGTCAGTGCTACAGGCAATCATGAATCACCACCATACCTCACCCACAATTATAGCAATCCAACAGCTCCTGCGTAACAATATGCAAACACACATCATCAAACTAATCTGGGTGAAAGGACATGATGGCATAGAGGGTAACGAGATGGCAGACCAGTTAGCAAACGAGGCGGCACTCAACAACGACGCGCAAGAGGTGACAACTCCAATCCCGACTTCGTATTTAAAGCGAAAGCTAAGAGAACTAAGCAAAGAACAGTGGCAACAGGAGTGGGATAACTGTGATACAGGAAGAAGGACACATGGATTCTACCCAATAGTAGACAACGAACGTCTCCAGGCCATTGCACCCTTGACATACTATATCACGGGGCACGGCCCATTTCCATCCTATTTTCAAGACATGCAATTTCGATGACAGATATATGCGTCTGCGGGGCAACTGGCTCCCCCGACCACTACATATTTGAATGCAGCCTTACATCCAACTTACACCTACCACTCCCAGCCACAAATATAGAATCATATAAACGATTCATCATTAAGCACCCACCAGCGGTCAAAAAGATCTGCCAAATAATTAGGCAGGTCAACGACCTAGGGCAAGATATCTGCCAACCAAACTAGCGTCAATTAAGGCGTCTCATAAAGCAACCACAGTCAGCTTTCACTACCAAATCATCAACAGAATTCTGACAGTCTCTTATACTGACAATCAGCTGAATGCAACTTACAATATGTTTAAATTATGTGCTGCGCTTATAACATAACTGCACTGTAACATAACTGCAGACATAGCTGCTTACTGCGTACAGTACTCACTTACGGCGTATAGAGCAAACTACTGACTATGAACAGACTGCTACCTGCATTGTGTCTCTGTAGTAGTTACAACGACTGACTGAAATATCTATAGAAGTATTTCCTGGAATAACCACAGTTATTACAACAACTGCAAGTTATATATCAGTGTATAAGGTACTGTGCGCAGAGTAATTGGAACGCCCTTACAAATCGCGTACAGAACTTATCAACAGTGTACAGAGCTCAACACTGACTAATCACAGGCTACTACTTGCATGTCCATGCTAGTCCATGCTAGTCCATGCTTAACTGAACAGTGTAAAACAAATGTGTATCCGACTTTGCATTGTGTAACCATTCTGTAAGCATTGTGTATACAACAAGCATCATGTATCTATTACAATACTAATATGCACTGTGTATTCTACAACATAGTGTTTCTCCTACAGTCATTGCCAGTACTGTATTACACTAAACGCGTTATACAAACTATCTGCAATATATATGCACCTCATTCTGCACTGAATTTGTCAAATTCTGCACAGTATCTGCTGTATATAAAGCATATAATTACTATGCAACTATCTACATTGCGTGTGCATTACCTGCAATACCTTACAACCTGTTGTGTATCTGACTTTGCACTGTGCATTTGTTCTGTGAGCAATGTGTATATAAAAAGTACTGTGTACCTACTTTAATCCAATAAACACTGTGCATCTAATATAATAAGCTCCGCGCATTCTATAACATAGTGTCTCCACTACAGTTATTGCCTGCACATCATATCTGTATTACTCAAACTATCTGTATTATATCTGCACTGTATCTGACATATGCATAATGTATAATTCATCTATATCTATCAATATTGTATCTGCATTACCTGTATAATCTCATAGCTTCGCATAGAAATATATAGCTTGGCAACATAGCATGCATGGTGCTGCGTACTATAATTGTGTGTATACAATAGTATAGATTTTTTTTAATGTGTAAGTATAATTGTGTTTATATAATTGTGCACAATTGTGTATTTATACCGTAGTATAGTGTTTTATTCTGCGTTTTTAATACGTTAGTATAATTGTGTTTGCATAATTGTACACCATAACTGTGTTGTATATAGTAGTATAGTGTCTTATTTCGTTTGTACAATTGTGCGCAGTATAAATTCTAATATCTAATGCTTTACAAGCATAGTGTATCTGTTTTTACATTGTGTATCATCAATTCTGTAAGCATTATGTATATAAAAAGCGCTGCATATCTATTCAAATTAAATAAGTATTGTGTACCTGATATAATGTATTGCATAATGTATTCTCCAGAGTAAAGTTTCATCTGTAATTACTATATCATCTAATAACAAAATTTAATATTCTACAGTGTGCCTGCATGCTTTATGTATGTTTATTTGCGCATTTTACATGTGATATGTGATCTAAATGTGCTAAATGATCTAAATGTGTCTTTAGTGTAAGTGTATACTATATATTAGCTTAAATATGTTTCATTATAAGTATGTGTTTTACTTGTATAAGTGTGTGCAAACTAGTATCTAATTTCTATTTTTATATAATGTGCTTACATGTTTTATATGTGTTATATATGTGCTTTTATATGTGTTTTACAAGTGTTTTGTATGTATCTTTATATGTGCAATTGTATGTACTTGTATGTGTATGTATATGCTGTAATTAGTGTCTAACAGTGTCTAAAAACCAAGATGTAACAAATCATCCGCCTATCGATCAAAACTAATGTATTCCTAAGACGCCTCTGTATGGCCATGTACAATAACGTAAAATTCTTCAATAAACTCCCGAGGTGGCCTCATGAGGCTCCTGGGAGTTGCTGCCATTAGATAGGGGAGGGCGCGGGACATATGCCTGTTTACCTCTGTTAAACATCAGGCGAACCCGTCCTCCGTCACCTGTCACCTGTATAACTTTCAAGAATCATGCTTCGCGACGGGGCAACTTTTAGCCTATTCATTCGCTTGAGATTTCAAGTTTCTACAAATGTTTCGACTAAACTTAAATCTATCTCATTTTTCTCTTTGAGCTTAAATCTACAGTTTTAGCTGTGATTCGTTTTAGTTAATCTTTAGCGAATAACTGGTGTGCAATTCTTGGGGCAAAAAAGCAAGGAAAATCATTTCGAACAGTTTCAACAAACACTGGTATGATGCTGCCTTTATGGGATGTTATACATTCATCACACCACAATTCTAAAACTAGTTTTTAAGGACTTTTGCATTTTAAATAACGAAATACATGTGTGTAGCCTCGAGAAAATTTGATAAATTGAGATATTAAAAAATTCCACAGAGGCTTTGAAGTCGAAATATTTAATTCTAAATTTCTGCCCGAAATTCTGTAGGGTTTCCCATATTTTGCATATCAAATTATTTATTTTAGGTTTGATACCTTTCCTGAACTCCTCAACTTCGCCTTTCATTTCCTCGCCAGGATGCAAATTTAAAGTTAAATGAAGTGAGTATTTGAACGAATGAGCTTATTCATAGAGTGTTTTCGCTAGCCAGCGCACGTTCCGTTGCTATCTCCTTGTTACGATAGTACATCCCTTGGCCGTTTCAGATAATCCTCACGCCTGTTAGGTTTTGTTGAGTCAACCTAAGTTAGAGGTAACTTAACGTGCTAATATAATACTATTCTATTTTAGATTTGAATTGATTTATATTCTAAGCTTAAGTTCCACCGTAATTGGAGTAATTGGTCGGTGTTATTATAAAGTCCGTGACTTTCTGTTCTGAGTTGAATTAATAAGGGGCTATTTTTACCCTTCTTCTCTGCTGGTATTTCACTCACGCCTGTGCGAGTATTTGCCAGGCTTATTGTAGGATCTTGTTTAGTTTATGTGAAATTGAAAAGACAGACCTTACAATTCTAAAACGCCATCTTTATAGCCCTCACAATTTGTCTGTAAAAACTAACAGAAGGTTGATTAAATATTACTTCTAGACAAAAAAATTGATTCACTTTGCTACTGTTTACTTAGGCTACTACTGTACCTTTAGGCTGTCATTCAAAAAATTAAAATAACGCTATGTTTTAAAACTGTTAAACTAAAAACGTAATTGCTTCAATTCGTCACCAAGCATTAATTCAGACAGGTTTTCGCTAAATGAGTGTAAATCTGCTTTATAGTATACACGGATATTACTTGGTTACAGGATTCCTTCATCATTTGTCACCACCACTGCTGATCGCGTGCTAATCTATAATTCTGTACTCACGAAAATGTATCAGATTTTTAACCAACATACGATGAGCGTTAGGTATTGAAAAACTCTTAATCTTGCTTTATCGTTTTCGCACGCATTTTAGCCTTATTCAGGATTACTCGACTTGATACTTTTAGCGTATTTATGTGGTTTAACTACGGATTCCTCCAGTGTTTAAATGCTAGAAAACCCTTTGCTCTGTATAGACAACTCATTGCTTTTAAATGCCTTTTTTGTCAGTTATGGGGGTAACCTTCAGCAGTGTAATAACTAATTTATACCTGCAGATCAGAGAAAAATGTTCGTAATAACCAAATTTCATTTTTGTGAAGAGTTATCGTATCTTTTCTTCTGTGCTCTTGTAGTGTAAGTTGTCAGAACATCCATGTGACAACTAGAGTTTGATGTCCATTTTAATGGCATGGCTTTCGTAAAACCTACACGGCTATGTCAAACCTGTAGTGTAGTCTGTGGCGGTGTCTGAACTAAAATGCACTAAATGAACGAAATATGAATAATGTGATGCGCGATAAAAAGGACTATTGGTCATCTGAATCACGTGCTTCTTTCGAATCGTAAAAATGGGAGAATGTAAGAGATTATTGTATTGTTCTCGACATAATCTTGTATTACTAATGAATAGCGTATCCAACTGGAAGTTGAAAGATTCGTGACTTGAATCTTGACGAGGCACAGTAGATTTCTCGTGTTTCTCAACTTCGTAAAATATAATAATCCCGTTATTGTAGAAAAGTGGCACGTTTTATTTCTGATTTTATTCGAGTTGTTATTTACAGCACAGCATTTTTCTACATCAGGCCCACTAGCGGTTAAGTCGCTGAACACTGGTGTGTTTACGATCCAGTTTTCCTTAGAAAATAGTCTCGAAGGCATCTCTCTCCTTAAGCAGATAGCTCTCGAGTGCTTTGCCAAAATGAAATAAACTAAAACCAAAACTTTCTACATCGCTAGCTCTTTGTAGATCAGATAAAGATAGTCTTTTACTAGAAAAGTTTTCTAAATATATGTCCTAGGATTTATAGCTATCTGCGTAAGAAAATATATATGACTAGCATAAACATATATAACGAACATGACATGACATTGTAGAGACATTAGGTATTTTGAAAGCAGGAAAAATGAAAAATATGCAACGCCTTCGCCGGGAATCGAACCGCGGACCTCTAGAATACGCGACCAGCGTGCAGACCACCACACCACGAAGGCATGCCAAAAAGGTGGAAGAAATACCTTATAACATGACTCGCATAAACGTTATGATTGCTTCAATGAGATACAGTCAGATTTCTGTTAAGGATTATTAGGATTTCACAGTAAGAAATGATTTAGCAGCAATATCCTGG